TGTTTTTTAGGTGAGGTACATATAAATAAATAATAGTGATAGTAACATCAAAGTTTACGACGAAATACTAACGGTCATGATGATAATGTCTAAACGAAAAAGATAATAATAATTTTTAATTATTTTTCTTTTGTTAGTCCTCAAAATGAACGTAGCGAGCCGGTTTACTGATTTGCCGACCACTACGTGTGTGATATGGAGGGAGGATAAGACTTGGTGCCGGTGGAGGGGATTCGGATGTTTGATTATTTGATTGCGCAGCTGCCGATGTAGATCCGAAGTCGTTGTCGGTGTATGCGGGTTTGATTCGATCAATTGAAACAGTCCAATCCATATTCATCATCCACGGAATATCTGTTAAGCAATAGGTTCTTGGTAGGTTTGTTCCCAAAGTTTCTTGTAATTGACTCCCTCTGATCATTCGATTATCAATATGGAGCCAGAGAAGGCGACTGTTGATAAAAGTCTGCTGTAGCTTGTCAGAAATCCCAATCGTGACTCGCAATGCAAGTTTCTGATACATATAGGAAACTGACTTCACATTTGTGTTGAAAATCCGAAATGTGTTATTTATGCTGAGTGGCGAAGATTTCTAAACTAATTTCAAATTAATGAAGATCTATTTTCTTCCTCTTAATCTGGCCCTCACATAGTCGTCCATTCGGCCTGGGGTTGGAACAGTGCTTCTTCTGTTAATGGTTACTGTTCTTTTCAGCGTGTGGGTGATTTTGTTACCTGTATACTCTACCTTCAAGTAAAGCCTTGCCCTCACTACTTCCCCCGCTAGCTTGTTAGTTTTTGCGTGCAAGTCTTCGATTTTGTGTCTTATTAGGCATAAACGTCTGAAAAGCCGAGATTATATCAGTCCGGTGTATTCGTGTATTCTTGTTCACACATGTTATCTTACGCATGATCAAATTCACTACGGTTTGGAATGTCATCGGTGATAATAACCAACCCTTTCTAACACCTGTATTCATGTCAAACGCTTCGCTGAAATTTTTCGTTGTGGACTACCTGAAACATGGTATCGCCATGTAGCTGTTGAATGTGTTTGATAAAGATTTCGGCACTGTACCCCATCGTCTTGAAGTAATTTACAGTTTGCTTCTCGGCCAGCGCTGCTGAAGACAAAACTTGACTGCTAGTCTATGGTTTGTTCGATGACGACGCATAGATTCGCAATTCGGTCAGCACTGATTTGCCCTTTCTGAACCCATCTTGATTTCGGCGGAGTTCTGCATCCAATGCGATTTATTGTTGCACTTGGCGTGTACAAGAGCATTAACCATTTTCAAAAAAATACTTGAGTTTGGAAGTTTCTGAAGCGATTAGACTGATATTTCAGGTAAGGATTGCTAGCCCCACTTCAATCTACCCCTCCTACCATGGGCTTAAAACGGGCTATCAAACTAGCGAGATAGTAACGTAGGCGAGATTATCAGGAGTTATACCGATCCTAAAATTCATTGATAGTGACACATCATCAGCTTGGCCAATCGACTAAAACAGTAAAAGCGGACCAAAGATATGGAATGACAAAATCAATAAACTAAATTTCATGAAAATATCATATATGAGTATGCAAATTAAATACCGAATCACCTTCACTGTGCATGAATGAGCCTCATTAATTTTACCAGTCGGGCATGTTTCGTCATCTCTATAATAAAGACAACGCGCCATCTGCATAAAAATTAAATCAAAGGGTCAGCCGAAGACTGACTGACTGGATTCAACGTAGAACTTTGCACACATGTGCATCAGATTAAGTCGAACACTCCACATAGCTCATATAGCCGGAAAAGAATACAGGAAGATTCAAAACAGGGGTAATAAACAAAAATTTGAAATAAGACCAATACTAATGTGCAAGGGCAATAGAATCTTATTGGATATTACAAATCACAAGGAGTGGATGCATCTGCACCAGCGGTTGAGAACGATTTCGAGCCGTATCACCAATTGTCTGCAGTCCTCATTAGATTTTACCATCCTGAGGACCTCAACCAGTCAGGATGTCCACACCTCCCGACGTGAGTGGCTTAAACTACCTGTTGTGGATTTCATTAACTGATTAGGCCATGTTTTGATTTGACCACCACCGGCTCTTTTCCGACCTGATCCACCCTGTGTCAGCATCAGTCGAGTAAGGCAATAGCTAGGGATGCATGTGTAACACATACCTAACCATCTCAATCAGTGTAGCTTCACAACGTCGTCGATCGATTTCCACTCCTTAGCTAGCGCTCGATGCAGAGCCTGCACCTTCATTGACCATATCTTAAAGTCATTAAAAGGACAGAGAGAAGTGCTGAGCAGTACAGACTCTCTTTGGCCGACAGCCAGTCGAATATCACGTCTATACCAGAGATGGAGTGAATCGAGACATGCGAAGCGAGCCTTGTGTATCCGTACTGAGATCTCGCCAGCGAGTTGGCTGATGCAACTCTCCAAATAAGTGAAGTGGTCAACACGCTCCAACAACCACTTCACCCCGTCCTTCCTCTTAACTGGGAGTCAGTGTAGTTCAGTTCTATTGCATCATCTTAGAATTGACAAAGGGAGCGTATTGCATGTCAAACATTAGAGGAGTGCTACTCCTCAAAGTGTTCAGAAGATCCTGCTCTGTTTCGTCAGCGTCTTCACCCAGAAGGACTATATCATCTGCATATTCTAAGTCAACGAGATTATACCCTGTTAACAAGTCAATCCGTGAGTAGCTGAAGTCTGTTAGAGTCAAATTCACCAGTGAATCTATGATGAAATTGATTAGAAATGGGAATAGTGCGCATCCCGCATGGACACCATTAGTTTTCACCAGCTCAGATGACAACTTGCGGTAAGCTCTCACATGGCTGCATGAGTTCGAGTTGAGTGCTTTGATCAGTGCGATGTATTTCTCGGCATTCCCTTTACAGCTAAACATCACCATTGTATCTCTCGGTCGACAGAACCCAGTGCCGTCCTAATGTCAAGAAATATGACGGCTGTCGAATGCCCGGCAATTATTATGCAAAACTTGAGCGGGGCTGTTGGCCAATTAAACCGTTCTCCAAAGTGTTCTAGTCGTCTATCCTGGGAGCTAATTATGGCGCCATTCTTCTAGATTATTCCACTTATCGTTTACCTTTTACCACCTGTTCCCCTGATATGTCTAGATAGGCATCTGGTGGCACTTATCGCCAATGCCTTTTCCATCTTTTTCGCTTTTGTCGATCACCGTCGTTGCGAAGACTTCTTGTCAGTTTGCGTTTGAGTAGCGTTCTCTCATCATATTCGGATCTCGCCAGAATCAGTCTTCTTGCGTCAATCAATTCAGATGAGATGATAGAGATCCAATGGCTCTTATTAACTTTTGGTTTTAACTTATTAACAGCCTTTACAGCAGTGTGTGCAGCTAACTTTATGTTGTGCTAGGCTACCTCAGGAGTGTTGCTGTCGACCTCAGATACTCGTTTTGCTATTTCCTCCTTAGATAGGGACTCAGTGTCTCGTCTTAGTTGAGTGAATAACTGCTTCGTTTCCAACAATCTTTCATGTCTATTCATTCGAAAGCATAAACGTGTGCGAACCAAAGCGTGATTGGAGTCCACTCACGTGTTCCGGAATTAGCGGCAGTCTTCTACTGATCCTCACCAACTAAAGCCTATCGCCATGTGATCTATTTGAGTGAAACGTTGATTTGGTGATGAAGGTCTCCAGATTACACAATGTCTGTCTTTGTGCCTGGATTTAGTGCTGACTAGGAACAGATGATTGTCTGCACAGAACTGTAGAAAACGATCACCGTTATCAGTTCATCAACAGGGAACTCTAAAGGTACCACCTACATACTTCTCAGTCTGGCACAATATCCCCTACTTAGGCGTTTAAGTCACCTGCGCAAACAACTATATCTGAGCGTTCTGCCTTTTGCAGTAAACTGAACAGTTTCTGATAGAAATCATCCGTTAGCTCACCCGAACTGCAGTCCGTTGGGGCGTAAGCGCAAACTACGAGGAAACAACGATGAGTAACGCCGCGTTTCCTTCTAACGAACCCTCTCAGACGGACTGCACACACACGACTATCTACTGGGATCCGGTTGAGAAGTGATTTTTCTGCGCTAACACGCAATGATATTCCTACACTTGCAAGTCCTCGCGAACTAGCTGAGAAGTCTTGCTAGGGTTGCATATTTTCCGATTTGGAAGAGGGTCCTGACTTTAAGTGATCCAATATGAAGTTGGCGGTGTGGCTTTAAGAAGCTACCGATGGTGTCTCTACGACACTCATCGTTGTTTGTGGTCAGAGAATGAAATGAAGATGACTCACCAGCCTGCAGATTAATAGTAACAGTAGGAGGATAACATGATGATGAAGGTGACAGAGGTGAAGTAGGATGATGATCGTGAGGGCTTCGTATGCTTTTGGAAGTGTGTGGGCGGTTGTTACTTCCTTCCTGCCCACACCGTGGAAATTGATTTATTCTTGGGGTAGGTGAAACAGAAAGGGAATTAGTGCTGCATGATCTCAGAGCCCAAGGGACAATTATTTGAGAATGGTCACACACGGCCTGTTTGAACTGGCTTCTTGGGTTGGCTCTGTACGAGTAACTTACCTCCGACAGTAGACTACCGTGTAGGGTAAGTTTGGATGTACAATTTATGGGATCGATCTTTTCTAATCCCCTCACTCTCAGATTAAGAAACAGCATAGTTGGCTGGCATTCTGATCATCTGAGGGAAACACCTTACTGCTGTTACATCCCTATTCCCCAACAATACGACTTTGTCCGCAGACCCCCAGCATAGTGTAAGAAATCTCACACTATGGCTGTAACTGCTCTTGGTCCTAACAATCATCCAGACATGGTAGGACCTGAAAGAACACTAGTTCCAACCGGTGTAGCTTGTTGGGTCATTGGGATATGCAAGCCCGACACTACCACGTTAAGATAGCAGCTATCGGTGGGATGACACATCTGAAGCTCGATTTGAAGCATATGAATTCAAGATATGGTTGGAAGTATTGTGATAATGAGCGTAAGCACTAGAATATTAGAATGTATACTGAAGACAACAGAAGATTGTTGAAATTGATTGAAATACGATGAGCGTGTGTGCATTCGTGAAGTGTAACTGATTTCACGAAAATACGCACATATGTTGCTAGTATTCGAAATCATATGAATGTGTATATAATATGCTTTGCTTCATAGATAATGCGATCTATCGTTTTGCTCCATAAAAAACTAGATATCAAAACACATACGAACTGTACACTTTTTATTTGCAAGAAAAAATTATGGACAAAGAAAGCATTATTTTACAGACTCTGTAAGAAGAGATGAAGTCAGTGTGTATCTGGATTTTTAATCAGTGGCCAAGATGCATGAAACTCGCTAACACATCCTGAGTGCAACCAAGACGCCAATTCTTTCGAAATATCTAAAGAAGGTTACAGTTAAAAATATTAACTCACTTACACAACGGATCGGAATTCCACTGTTGCAAAAGTTTCTTCTTAGAATCGATCTTGTCTAAGACTAAAACAGACACTAAAGAACGTACCTCAGGACGAATACTAGGAAAAAGTAAGACAAAACGAATTGGAAAAGGTGATCAGACAGTAATAATGTAAAATTTAATTTGAGAAACCTTTTGGGATCCAACTTTACTATAGCTGAAGTTATAAACACATGACTTCTACGTTAACTCACTTTGAGCAGCATATAGCTGATAAAAACTTTGATAGACTTCGGTCTATTTTTGATTCTAAAACACTTAGACAAATTTAATAGACTTCAAGAATTTATTTCAAACAGTTTGCCAGGCCATTTTAATTTTTCTTCCAACTAAATATTATTTGTAATTGTCAAAATAGGTAGTACTACGGTTGGGTACAAATCTACATCTCCATATTCTCTCTATATAAAAGTTCAGAGCTACTCACTCTGTAGATCCACGAAAATGAGAAAAATATGATGAGAATATTAAAATGATTGACGTTACGTTGCGTTCACATAAAGCATTAAAATAAAACCCTGATAAAGACAAGGTATTAAACTTAGTTTTATATACAGATAGAACACGTAGAATTGATGAAATCTTTCAGTTTTAATTGACTGTATGGAGTGTGACGATGTGGACTGCTGTACTTCTTTGTTAAATACTATGTTGAAACTCACTGAGATTAAATGAAAACACAACACTACTGCGCTAATATTAATAATTGGTGAAAAAAACAATAATCGACACACTTGAGACAATTTTAATCATCTGATAACTATCGACAATATCCAACAAATTAGTCTAATCTGCCTAAACAACCTGATGACAATGACTTCGACATAACTTTGAATGACTAAGTTCATTCAGAAAAAAAAACAGTCGAACTGTGTTGTATGAACCAAACTTACACTGAGATAGAAGTATGATAAGCTACAAAATCCCATGTCAATTTACCATTGGTATAACTTGTAAAGAACACACTGAAGCGTGTAAAATTCTCATGGCAAAGTTAAACTTTCGAGACCACTAACAACCAATCAGAAAACGACCTCGAACGGACCAATCACATTAAAGAGGCATTTATGATAAATGGAAACGTATATTTGTAGAAAAAAGCATAAAACTGTTACAGGGGGTATCTTTCCCTGACATGTGAGAGAAACATCTCCCAGTTAAGCACCGGACTGCCATTAGAAAAGTTACACCACATTCTGTACATATATTCATCTAAATGACTATAAATGAGATCCTTTTGAGATCCATTTGTAGCCCTTATCCTATTTTTCAACCTGCCCCAAAATCCTTCAATATAATTTTTATGTGTCCTCGTAACGAGATCTACAATATCACTTGAATGGTTGACTCTATGATGAATATATCCCGGAGATGACGGAATTGTAACCTTTCCATTCGTTGATTCTTCAGCTTTATTAGTCTTCTCATGTGATTTAAGGGAGAATAACTATGATTATCACTGAACGACATTATAGCAAACAATACAATTTAATTAGAACTTACACGCCCCATGAAACAGTTACTATCTGTGGTGAAATATTCTTTTTTATTTTTGTAGGAAACCATTCCTTAAATTCCGGAAAAATTATGCCTTCTAGAAGAAAACGTGTGAACCAACGAACACTCCATGTAAGCGCTTCTTTGAAGCCTAACGACCGACTTGCAGCTATACTGTTAATTGGAACTACAATCGAATTCGGTAAATCCAGAAACTGATCATCACATAATTCAGGAGAATCAAGAACAACACCCGAACCAATATATATCACAGACTTGGCACCAGTAACAATAACATCACGTTCAGAATCATAACGCGGTGTAGGAGTGGATGTCAGGGAAGTGGACTTTTTCAATGCGTTGGATTCATCAGTATCACTTGTTTCATCATTGATTTGGTTGGATGAATCAAAATTCTTCGCATCGTTTTCATTATTATCTAATGAATCTAGGCTATCTGTCAATATAAGATCACTGACTGAGTAACTCTGAGGTGCCAAAAATGGTATCCATGTCGGATCTATAGCACATACCGCTGAAATAGGAAGAAAATATTAGTTTAACAAGATATGTGCCACTAAATTATATATATATATATATATATATATATAACTCTTAAAACATGAGTTACCTGTAAAAGATACATCAATCTGCTCAAACATTCAATTATCTGATAAAACTGTGTCAGGATTTACAATAGAGTGGAGACGAAAATAACATCTAACCAGTCTAAAAATTACACAAATATACTGGAAATGTAGTAAGAGACTTCTCAGATATGCTACCATATCAAAACTCGCCAATTAATATCAATATAAAAAAAAGCTAATGAATATAAGCGGTTGAGAAGTAATTCTCTTCAATAGTCTGTATTAGTTTAGTAACTGATGCAGACGACAAATTACTGGCTACCTTAATATCTAACTGAAATTTCCAATTATACAAAAATCTGATCATCACTAATCAACTTTCAAGTTGTTATCATCTGAGCTTACAGAAACCTGATAAGGTTTCTCTGAAGTCTCTTACTTATTCATTTACGAATACAACTTAGGAAGTTCAGCCCAAGCATGAATGACAAAGTAGAGAAAACATTCCCCCCCTCCCCCACCCCCAAAAAAACTTACTGCGAAGAAAAGATTTTGATGTAGTGTGAACTTCTAGATATGCAATGAACGGGAAATTCTCACGTGCCAGAGGAGAATTTGGGTCGATGAATACAGGTCCTTGCTTGCCTGGGATCTTCAAAGTATTGATATAAATAAGATAAAGACATAAAAAAAGACAAAAACAATATAGTATACAGTTTTGGATTTTTTTAAAAAAAACGATTGGACGATTATAAAATGTGAAAGAGAAGTGTATACATGACAACTATACAATAGGAATTGTGTGAAAATAATGACATGTTAAGTTATTTCAAAACAGTTGTGTCAACACCTCTAGAAAACCACTAATTCGATCTTTTCACTATAAATGGAGAATCATAAACAACACTACACAAAATTGATACTCGTATAACGTCTTGAAAGATGAGGATATATCAAATATGGTGTAGTTCACGTACCTCGTAGGCATAACGAAGTCGTCGGCGTTCATTAGGCGGTAGACCAGTGACACAAACACTTAGCTTTTTAGCAATCTGACAAGGTGAGCCAACAAGAAACAACTGTCTCAACTGAATAATTTGTGAATCTGTGGGTCTTGGTAAACACAGATCAATGGCAAGGCCAAGATCTGGAATGATAACATTCACTACATCAAAAGAGAGAGAAAAGGACAAATTGTATACAATTAAAAAAATAATAAATGGTCACAATTGACGTGATTATCAAATTATTGCGTCAGTTTAAGTTGAAGCGCTTCGGAGAAGCACACATAGCATCGAAAAGAAATATACTGAAAAGCAGTGAACGTAAACGTATAAGATGAAGGCAGAAAATAATCACATGTAAATCAGTAAGAATATTTAAAACCGAGTAGATAACAAGAGGTGAATACACCGCAACATTAGATACTGTTCAAGCGATGTGACCGGCAATCTTCAGTAATTGATTCCCAGTATACAGACAGCTTGTACTTGGCTAGGTGACTCAAACTAACAGATAATGAATTCATGAACTGGTGTTATGGTTTGATCTGACATTCACTAAATCTTTTTAAACATTACCCTAATTCAGGTAACCATGCCTAATGAGAAGGAAGGTGGCTCGACATGTACCACACATGACCTAGACACTCCAAACAAAATAGGTTTACAATCTCTCCTCCCCCTACACCCCACGCCTGAATTCACCACATTTTTCCACCTAACAAAACAGCTAGGATTAAATACCGCTAATCATTTCATATATTCAACTTTTAAGGACGAAAGTAAAATAACCATAAAGTAAAAAGGAACACACTGCTGAACAGAACGCAGAAACCAATAATACACCTACAACAAAAATGAAGTCAGTTGCCATATGCGAAACTAACTATTAACATTCATGCTATGATAACATCAGCTGACACAACTTGCTAAATAAGTGAAGTAATCAACCTACTTAACTATTTCACCTTCTATCTTCAAATCAGAAGTCGATGTACAATAGGTCTGCAACATCATCTTTTATGACACTGGACTTAAGTTGTATGCCAAGCTTAGTAAGACTTCATAGCTCAGGATGTTTAAAGATTCTGCAGCATTATGTCAGCGTCTCCACCTAAAAATACTGTATCAGCCGCACACTCTACATTAACTAAAACCCTTGATAGCAAACCGATTGTACAAAAAACTGAATTACACTAGTGTTAAATCCATCAGTATAACGAAACTAAATAAAAAAACAGCGGTAGTGGATATAACTAATTTATATATTAGAATCAATTGATATTCTTATGAGTGCGTCGGTGGCACAGTGGTTAGGACTCTCGCCGACCATGCACATGGTCCGGGGTTCGAGACCTCGCCGATGCACACCTGATATCTATGGTCGGACTGCAAAATTTGGGCTACCGATATCCACGCTGAAAATTCCATACTTGTACCAAAAATACAGTGTGGAATCAAGCTGTAATAAAAAAAAGAACAATTGATCAAAGATGTTGGCTTAGCACATTAACAGCCTCATTGAAACATAATTCCAATGATTACCAGAGAAAAAAGTTTCAATAAGCGTTTTTGTGTAAATTGTGAGAGAGCCCTCATTTAATCCATTATGCGTAGACAGTTCGTCTTGATAATAATTCTAAATCTGTCTGTCTGTATGTCGAAAACAGACAGACAGACAGACAGACAGATTTACTTCCAAAAGTAGTTTACAAGTTTTATTTACGCCTAAATTAGATTACCTGCAACTCATCATCAAACAGTGAGTTGGTAAGAATAAACTTTAATCTGACTAGTCACTAATATTTTCTTAGATTTGTCAAAATAGTAATAATTTTGAATTCTTACCACTTCGATGATTGCCACCAGTCATTTTAACTACTTTCCAACTACAAAAAAGTGGATTAAGGACCTTTGGAAAGGGATAAAGTAAATTACTGAAAACTTTATTCTAAAAATGTACATCAGTTAACCTTGGTAATAGATCGGTATACCGGTAACTTAAAACACCAAATGGTGTAAATTCACTTTGTCCTACAATACCTCCAGTGATGCTTTAGAAAACCGTGTACACTACGAACTTAACTAGTTTTTTATATATTCAAATGAATACATCCTAAAAACAAAAGACTTACAAATATCAGTAAGCTGTTTACGAAGTTGTCGGATCTCTTTATATGCATTCCATCGAACACCACAACGTTGTGCCAGTTGTCGCAATGCTCCTTCGGGATCACGTGAAACATACGTTTTCCCACCAACCGACTCGATTATCCCAGGCTCTGCAGGAATCAAACCACTAAGTTGAGCTGCATAGCGCTCTAGGCAGCATATTGTACCTAAGAGTACTGCTAGGTCACCAAGATACAGATCTTCTTTCTGCAAATAAAATATACGTAATCGGATGGTCAACAGCTAATTATTACATCCTGACAACTAGACACAAAAAGTGACAATGCATTGGAAAAATATTGACACTGACAATTAGTTGAAAAGAAAATTATCCATCTGTTGCAAAAAATCATTTTGATACCTAGACAGGAATCAACAAATTGTTGACTACAAACAAAGCCTGGCCCTGAATTCCATTTACCACAGCGCTAAGGTTTTGCATGATCACATTTGGAATCGTTTTTGCCTAGCAGGAATAAAATGATGTCGCCAAAGTTCATCAGATCCATTCAAAGGAGACGTTTTTTTTTTCAACAGTGGCCTACTGAAAAATAGAAAGTTGTGGAACTATTTCACACTTTAGATATGACTCAACTAATAAAATACGTTGAAACACCTATCTTGGAAAATACATTACTTGTTTGCTATATGTGACATTAAGTTGATTAGGCTACGAACCATTGAGCTATTTAGTGCATGTTAATCCTATCTCGAAAGTATATTCAAAAATGCCCATGAAAATCTTATTTTCTGTTCCCTCATATACATGATTTGACATCTATGTGAACTAGCAGATACAACTGGAGTTTAAACAAGATGAGATGTCTGCTTCCGACTACCACAGAAGACAATATACGCACACTCAAACTTCTGGGGAAATATATATACATATCAATACGACTGTTCGACGCCATCAAAAAACATAAAAACAACAAATAATTAAGACTCACATTTCTAACAAATTGCTGGACAAAGTTAGACTGAAATGTCTTTTCCTGTTCCGATAAAAATGGTGTATCCGAAGTCTGTGATACAAACAGATTCGGTACAGATAAAGCAGCAACTAGTATCACAGCATACGGCATTAGATGGCATTGATTCGCGAATAGTAACATCCGTGCAAAGCGTGCAGGCACTGGAACTCTCGTCATCCACTTCCCAGCGTCTGAAATTGTACGAGATTGACCTAAAACCAAGTGGACCGTCAAAGTAAATTAGACATATATAGGTTAATTCAATGAAATTAACAGTTAAAAAGAAATTTGCATTTAGCTCACCTCCTGTGGTATTTTCAACTTCCTTCAGAGCACCTAAAGCAAGCAAACGACGTTCAGCAGCTTCGATCGCTTGAGTGGATGGTGGAGTAGGTAGAGGGAAAAGTGAAAGCTTTGTACTTCCCAAATACAACTGGTGAAAACAAAAAGATAGCAAGTTAAATTACAATAAAGTTTGAACTACATCTTATAATAGTTCCAAAAGTATTAAAAGAAATTGGCTCAGCGTCAGCAGAATCATTGTTAATAACAGATAAAAATATGATAATCAAGGAATACATTAACATAAAACAGAATTTAAATGAGTCCAACTTGAGGCTAATACAAATAAAAGTGTAAGCATGACGCAGTTGATAATTAATTCTTAAACTTGCTTGGTGAAGAGCGAACTGTGAGAGTCTTCGTTTGCATAACATTTCATTTCACATGTTCAATGATTGTTCACCACAAAACTATTCAAGTGACATACCGACTTCCATAGGCTCATTTTTTATGCTTTCGATTCACCTTGTAGCCACCTTAAGTGATTTCTTAGGTGACCCCATTATAAAAATAGACAATATGAAAATCAATGCAAATATGCGTGTGAATGCATTTTGCCAAGCTATTAAAATACAGTAGGATAATCATGTCCAAATTCTGGTTTATTTTTAGTAGTGGGTACTTGAATAACCGAACAGCTTGTAAGACTACGTACGCCTCTCTTCATAACACATCACTCCTTTCTGATAAAAGCTAACAGGATGCTGAAATATGTGAAGAGGAAAAATAGATTTTTTGGTTTTTGTCAAAAAAAACCTACGATGTTAACTGCTTCACATTTTAAGCTATGATTAAAATTAAGATTACCATAAGTTCAGTTACTAAAATGAAATACAATGAGGTCATAATCATACATACAGAGGCTAATTACCTCAAAAACGTTGACAAAATTGAATTACCTTTAACATTAAAACAACTTCGTCAATTGGGCGTACAAGAATGTCAGGAACGGAGAACTGTTTCATACTCGAAAATATCTGTGAACTGTACAAACGGTAACAATGACCAGGACCAACACGACCAGCTCTTCCTGCTCGCTGTTCAGCAGATGCTTGACTAATCCATATGATCTCAAAACTAGACGTCCCTGTTGCTGGTTCATACACCTTAGTTTTTACCTGTATGCGAAATAACATGAGATAAACTTTAGAATTGTCACAAACGTTAACATTTTAATTACGGTTAAGTGATATATACTAATAGTACTCAGTACTAGTAGAAATGTAATATATTCTACCACAGGACTAATCAAAACAAAATTATAAGGATTAAAAAGAATTCAGCGATAAAGAAAATTAAAAGGAATTAATTACTAAAACGGGACCCCACACTTACAAAGAAAATAAAATGAAAACTCTTATAATCAAGAAAATTTAAGTATTTCTAGTCAAACAAAATGTCCTCTGAAATAAGTAGTGATCGAAACTGGAAAAATAACAGTCAAAAATAAATGTATCTTAATCCATTCAAACACATGAAAACATATAGACTAAGGGAGCGATTATTGCAGATAGCCTTAAAGACCAATAGTATGAATCAGTATGTGCAAATTTATACAGATAAATGACTCATCAAACTGTTAGCCCATGATAAACAGCCTTACCATTATGCCAGCTTACTTTATAAATTAAGTTGTATAGCCTTAACCAAATTATATCATCTAAATCTTTTTGTGCTTATTGTTCTCATATATAACAAAGTGAAAGTAGTGAAGAACTGTGCATGGGAAATGACGATAATAACATTGAAGCAAAACATGTCGGTGGCGCAGCGGTAGAAGGCTCACCAACCACTCCTCATGTTGTCCGGAGTTCGATCCCCGGTCGACACATTCCTTTACCTCTGTAAGTCAGTAATTAAACTGGTACAGAGGGTCGGTTGGACATGTGACTAGAAATCCCATCCCGTAAAAATAAACCCCACTGCTACCGAAAATTCAGGTATCTAGCTTGAAGCTCTATGTTCCACTGCGAACAAAAAGGAAAAAAAGACCAGAGGAAACTCCAGTTTTAGAACAAGATTGCTTCGTTTCATAAGTTTATTATTATTATTAGTGGTACTAGAAGCAGTAACAGCAGTTCGAACAAAGTTGACTGGCAACCTCATCGAAGTGATTTCCACGTATATAATATGAATCATATACCGAACTGTCGAAGAATGGTCACCGTTTCCAAAGGGTTTAGATACATTTCTAGTGGAAAATAAATTTTACCCATAATAGCATAGAAAACCACTGATGACTCACCTTGCCTGTATCTACGACAAAACGTATATTCGGGATAGTAAGTGAGGTTTCAGCTACATTGGTCGCAACCACAACCAAACGATGATTCTCAGGTGGTGGATGAAAAACATTTTGTTGACGTTCAGGAGGCAACAATGAGTAAAAAGGTAGTGCATACAATGGACCCTATAAAAAACACAAAATAAAAATGCATAAATACCCACTAATATTATTGTGACAAATTATGTATTCACCGTACTTGTCATGTGCTTCAGAAAGAACTAACATACACAGGACATAAGTGTGCACTGTACATAAAAAGCTCTTCAACTTACAGGATAAGACTCACTACGTGTTCGACTAATTTGTTCAAGGATATCGTCATCATCATCAATTTCCTCCACTTCACTGTCATCCGCTTCTTCTTTCTTATATTCAGTTAATTTCTTTTCTTCTTTTACTATGCTTTTACGGTGAACACGAGTATGACCGATTTCTGTCTCCTCGTCAGCAGGAATAATGTCGAAACTAACAAAAAAAAGAAAGGATAAGAATGGAAATTAGCAATAATAAAAATGTCCCGCCGAACGGAACTCATAAGTAAGCAGTGAATATCTTCAATTAAATAGGGGAGTTTATTCTTGGAACAGTAGATGACAACTGTAACTGAAACTGTAATAAAAATTCTCTTACTGAAATGCTTATTTTGCTATAAACTTGCAAAGAACTATTTTATGCTGACAGTTTGCGTATCAATCCTAACATCAGAATGAAGCCCTTAATCATATTTAAAGGTATATATATATATATATGGGGCTTATGGGTCTTAAACTGCAAATAAGAGCAACTGATAATAGTCAGATTGATAAAACGTTATATATGTTCACTGTTTCCTCGTATTGAAGAGAATTTTTACCAGGCGATTGATGTATTTCGGCGATTATACTGGAGATTTTTTAAAATCCTACTCATTCCAAGTGGAACATTGGGCTTCAAGCTTCAACTCTGAAGTTCCAGTGGTGGTGGGGTTGCCAGCCTCACGCCCAACGTTCTTTCATTACTGGGCTAACTATCGTCTGATAAAAATTTTGCAGTGTATCGACTGGGATTTGAACCCTCACCAAGTGCACTTATACCAGGGAAATAAATTATAAGTCCATGCAACAGTCACAAGACAGAGCTAATTCACCACGAATAATGATTTCCCCTAACCTAATTTTTTTATAAAAACTTGTGAATGTGAATTAAGAACTCGGTTACTCTTTGCATCTGCAATATATTGTGAATTCGTATTGTTTAAAGGAACAAAGTGTTATTCATCATTCTCTTAAGCTTTAGCACACAAGTTACTATTCTGAATAATGTGATATCAGTTATGTGGATACAGGTCACTAATTTAAAGACTAGAACCAGTATTCCCAAAATGGTATACGTGATTCATAATCGTGTCTCAGTGTAACTTCCAATTTAGGCAATCAGCAAGCACGCTATAGTTCTTAATTCACGAAAGTAATCAGAAAAACAATATATGGTAAAGTTCATATATGAATACGGTTGAAATAGTGACAACAGTAGTGTTTTGAAACAAGCCGTCAATTGTGAATGCAATTTAGCACATACAAGTTATATAAGATGAAAAACCATAAATGTAATAAGATATCTCTACAGTGTAGCTTAGAAGCATGTTGAAGATCGCATAGTTAGCTAAGTTGCAAATATGAATTTAATAAAATATGAGGACAAATCTATAACCAACTTTTCGAATAAGCACTAACTTGTTCAAATCAATACATGAGGTAGAACGATCACTTTCTTCTACACCCACATTCCCACATTCATTCGAAGTATCTGCAGATACAGATGACTTGTGAGTTTCTTTTGGCAACTGTCTTTGCTGTTTTGAATGTCCATCAACTTTACTAGACTTTTCATTTACTGAGTTAGCTGCATGCTCATTTATCTTTGGAAACGCTCTTGTAAGCCAACTGCAAAGTGTATTTGCTTCCTGTTGACCAGTGACAAACACCAGAATTCCACCAGGTGGTGAAGTTTTGTGAATTGATACTACCTAGTAAAATAAAATTGTGATGGATAGATTTTACTGGGGAAGCGAATCTATATGTGATCTACATTAAAAAGACAGCTGGCAACAATAAATGAATAATAAAAAATTTGGAGAGTATGATTCACTAATCTGTGAACTATCTTTAGGCACAAATACTTCGTTTGAAGAAAGTTTTCATTTCACAAGCTCATACAACTACATTTGGAGCATCAATCTGCTTCCTTACAGTCTGTAACATGAAGTATTCTACTTGTACTAATCCATGAAGATCATGAATTCAAGCCAGACCTTTATGTACAAAAGAAGCATGTAAGGTGGGATAAACATCAGTTTATTTTTCACTTTATTTATTTACTGAATTTATGTACCTTTCCCTAAGACTATTAGCATTGTTAGTCTCATTTGAGCTGTTTCCGGTAATACTTTACCTGCCCCATTTATTATTTTAAAACAATGTTGATTCTATCTTAACAAACTTCACACCATGTTAATTAATGTTTCGACTGTCTACTAATCCTATAATTTTAAATTCATTTCCAACTTCTATACATTCCATGAACTATTCTATATATGACATTATCTGCTTTACCAATTGTGATTTATCTATGATTGTGGCGTGTGCAGATTGACAGGAGGCCGCCAACGACTGAAATCAACCTTTTACGTCAATAGCTGAAGAGGTAGAAACGTTTAATCATCAAATCTGTATTTAGTTAACGTTGTGGTCGTGAGACAATCTCATTGGATGACCCCGTTTGACCTTGGGCGACCAATCAATAGGAAGAAATTATTGTCCAGGGACCTAACCGTCTTTTGATGTGGTTAGAAATGTATAAATATGAAGTGTTTTTCCTGAATAAAAAAATCCGCTACCAATTCTCCTACCTTTCGGCGTTACATTATAGTAATCACAAACATTTTAACTGCATCTCACATTACTATTTTAAGTATTCAATCTTTTTTGTTTAAATTTCCTTATGGGATATAATATATATACGATTGTACAGTATGAAAATAGATTCATAGACAAGACTCTCTTTGTTAAATACTGTGTTCTTAATGTTATCATGTGAAGTATTAAATCATTGTACAAATATAATTGCAATGTCTTAGATACAATGATACATCTAAATGTCATAGGTGAATACAACTACTCACTTTACGAAATGCTGCCTTCAGGTAATCTGGATCTGTTGTCTTAGCAAAATGACACGTTACAGGATACTGGCGTGATTCAACATGGATGACTGGTGGAGGGGATTGTGGAAAAAGACGACGGTTTTCAGAAAAATCGTTCACTTTCAAAGTTGCAGACATGATAATCAGCTTTAGAGGTAGTAAAACTTTACCATTTGTCGGTATATTTTCCGTAAGCCTCCGCCGACGTAGACGTACGATCATAGATATTAGACCCAAAATCACATCAGAGTAAATTGAACGTTCATGGGCCTCGTCTACTATAATGGCAGAATATCGTGATAGCTCAAAGTCCTTTTAAAAAATTAGAGAAAGTAAGGTTCAATCTAACAACTTATTTGTTTGGCAAAAAATGCAGTAAAAGATTATATAACAAAAAATTTAAACGCTTGTATATCCGTTGATATGTAACGTGTGGTTTAAAGGCAAAAGGTACGGCACCGATTTCTAAATTTCTACATAGACAGTGTAATCAAAGCCAGTAAGTAAGTTTAAGATAATGAGTCATACCTCCAGAAGTTTACATACAAAAGAGTGTTCCAGACAGACATACAAAAGAGCAAAGTTCAACTATTAATCGGGTGAATGCATCTATAATAAATACTTCACCAATAGCTTGATGAATACAATCCAACTGATTGCAAAGTAGTAAACTGACTAATTCAGTTTAGAAAAATGTGAAGATATAACAAAGAAATAAGGAGTTTTAGAAAAATTTACAGACTCAAGAGTGTTAATCCGTCGCTTATTTAGTTTATAGGAATTAAAATTAGTTGTTTCAGGAGGGTAATAGTGTTATGTTTAACGAAACAGCAGTAGATTTGCTTCAGAATACGATGAGAGAGTATATATATGCACTTTTCCTAGTGACATACTTGCTAGACAACGAAACAGAGTAAATCCACTAGTTGAAAATGATTCGTACACGAAATAACACGAAGCAAACACCATAAATCTCCCAACCAATCAAACACGACACAAACCCTTAACAAGCTTGAATTGTTGAATCTAGCTGCACAATCCCTTCAAAGTAAAAGCATGTAAAGATAGTCCAGAAATATATTTTTTTTAGATATACATCAGAGATAATATAATCTGTCGTTTATGTCCTGAATATCAGTCACTTACAAGTTATTAACACGCTTGCAATAAATTGGTATCACACTTTGCTTCATGCGTCGGTGGTTCAGTAGTAGAATGCTTGCCAACCATGCACGTGGTCCGGGGGTTCGATTCCCGGGCGGTGCACACCTTTACCCCCCCTAGCCGTCTGTACGCCCGACAAAAAGGGGGGTTGGGTGTGAGGCTAGGAACCAGACCCCGTAAAAAACATAACTGCTACTGAAACTCCAAGGTCCAAGGTTGAAGCTCTATGTTCCATTTAATTATTCATTTTATTCCTTCACGATCCCAGTAGATCATGGGGCTTCAAGCTAGAGCTTCGAAGTTTCAGTAGCAGTGGTGTCTATTTTTATGGAGAGGGATTGCTAGTATAATGCCCAACCTACCCTTATTAGCGATCTTGTTAGCGGCTTAGCGAGGTATAGGAGTGCGACGGCCGGGGATCGAATCACAGACCACATGTGTGGTTGACGAGCATTCTACCGCTAAGCCACCGATGCATAATCTACATTCCCACCAAACCAAGCGGGAACTACCACTTGACAGATTTTTAACAATCCGTACTTCCTATGTTCCAGTCGGAACGCAAAGAAACAAAATAACAACAGTAATAATACACTTTACTTCACAGAATACACGATATTCAGTATCTAGTATACAACGCTGTACATAGATAATCACATTTTACACATCTTCAGAAGCAAGGAACAATCAAATATTGGTGGAAAAGGAAATAGACAAAAGAACAAATACATGATTACCAAACTATAAAAGAATAAAACGGATTATCAACAAGTGAAGTTGTGATGAATAACAAAGGTACAACCTAACAGCCAATAAGACGCCATTGAAAACGCTCTCAGATATGCAAGTTTACTATTTAGCGGCCATGATAACCTATTAATGTCGCTATACTGTTCAACTAATCTAAATATCTTACTTCTGGGCGTTTGTGTGCTACGCGTTTTACGTTTATTCACTAATCAGTTACTCAGGTACTCAAAAATCTTGTGACAATTACACATGCCTTCACCTGAACAGATTTTCCTTTCCTTAATACAATGATCTCATCTGAGACGCTCAATTGAGTGACATAGATAAAAACCACATATTTCATATTCCTACAAAAAATAATACTTTCAATTTTAAAAACGAGTGGGACCTACGATGATATTTTAGAGTTGAAACAAAGATTTTACTCTTTTCTGCTCTCAGTTATCTAAAAATATGCTCAAAAATGAATTACCTGTTTGATTTCCTGCAAAAGGATTCCATCTGTCATGAATTTTATCATTGTTTCTTTCGTCACTTCCTTGTCATACCGAATATGATAAGATACTTGGCTAAATAAGATATCAGAAATAATTTGGTGCTTAGAAATCTGAAGAAATGTTAGTAGATTTACATTAAGGCTCTATTGATATTGAAATAAGCACAGAAATAGTTGGATGATACATTTTGGAACAGATTTCAACTACTACACTGCAATACAATCCTCAGGAGATATCGATCTAAAATATGATAATATTTAACACTACCTGAAAAGACAGATTACATTGCTCAACATTAGAGAATCAATGCGGCCGGGATATTTTCACATTTTAGTTAAAGATGTACATTACGCCAAAGGCAAGTACTAATGATTATTGAATTCAAACCAACTGAAGGGACTAAGACTACGTTCATCAATCAGTGATTCTAAAATCGTTAACTTTCACTGAGTCATATTGTGCAGAATTAAAAATGGATATTAGTTAGTACTCACAATAAATTGCAATTGACTTAGTTCACTTTACACAACTAAGTGATAATTATACGATGACCTACTTGAACTCTAAACCACATTTCAAATCTGTCCGTGAACAGTGACAAATGGGAGAGAGAGAGAGAGCAATGAATGTAATTGTAATGTAGCGAAGATGAATTTGCGGTTACAATTTAGATAATCTGTGCAAATGAGTCCCTGTGAATGAAATAAGCTCAAGAACAGTAGCTGGAGCTGTAATCTTCGATTTAAACCAGATAATCTAGCAGTTACTTCACAGTTCAGAATAGTAACCAGACACTTCATGAATTGGTCAAATATTTCGTTCTGGCCACTTTGGGTCTTTCTTCAGTTTAATCCTATTTCAAAAGACATTCTCAGTTGTACGAGATCACTCTAAATAAGTACCAATCTCAAATGAGATTAAACGAAAGCAATACTGACATTTTGAGAATCCAAAATGTAAGTTCTAAACTCAGGGGAGATTTCAAATAAAGTAGATCTATGCAAATTTCATAAAGGATAGTAGCCGTTGCCCCCAACTAAACTTAAATATTGCTCGAAAATTCACCATTCACGAGTTCAACTATGGTGTCAAGCTAAGTAACACAAAATTGCTCTACGCTATAGTGAATTTTAATTTGATGTTGGACTTGTGACGTTTTTTTTTAAAGACCCCTGTGAACCTCTAACAGTGTGAAGTTATTAGCAGAAAGCAGAGACTGGAGTTACCATAGCAACAGATAAATGGCGGCTGAGAGAAACAATAATGCTCCTAGAAAATACAGGAAAGCAATATTCCCCTCCTGCTTACATTATGATAACATCGTTCCGAAAAAGGTTATCATGAATGTTAGTGATCTAGAATTTAAGTATGGAGGGCTAGAGATAGCTGTTTAAAACAGATCATACAAACGTTTTTGTGGGAATTTTTGTATTCGAAACTGTGTTGACATCACGCCTTTTGACAATAGGTTCATTTGAATAGATGTATATTTTTTGATTTCTTTTCGTGACTTATTTTAACAAAGTGCAATATCAGCTTATGATACGGTATATATTTAAGAAACACTACACTACTACTGTACTTCTTTAACAGGAGAAATGTGCCTTCAGAATTCAAATTAATTCTCTAGCATTTCGATTATGAGCTTAACTGTTTTGCTCCTATTCACTTCCTCTTTAAGACAGCCTTACTGTCAACACGGTGTGAGTGATTAAAATTGACAGTCTGATTGATATTCCAAAGCATCTGAAACCTAAACTCAGCTGCACCGAATCCAATTGGTGCACCCATAAGTAAGTGGCCGAAACACAAATGCATAAGCCATACCTCAGCAAATATGATAACACATCGTAGCTTCTACTGTTAAAGAACTAAGCTCTTCAAGATTTTATTTAAAATTAAGTGGCGATCAAGACATATCAAACATGGAATACTGAGTTCTCTATAACTCTCCTTTGTAAGAATGTGCTGTAAGTCAAACTGAGAGGATATAACAATAAAGTGGTAGTAGAAATGAATACAAAAATATCTATTATTAATTTACCTAGGTGTTAAATTTAATTCCTCACCAACTCGACGTGCCATTGATATTGCGGCTACACGACGTGGCTCCGTTATCCCAATCATATACCCTTCCCTGAAAACAAATATATATATATATATATATATATATATATTATAGCGAAATATTTTATTCCAGAAGCCATACATTTCAATGTGAATTATAAATTTTAAAATAAGATATTATTTGGTTGGTGATGACTAGCCCTAGAATCTACGATGCGCAATTCCATTTTATTTGTCAGTCGTCAGCTTTATGCACCTGCGTGCACAGCGGACGATGGTGTTCCCCCAATGAGATTGAGATCCAGCCAGTATCCGTTATTTCAAAAGCCTAAGAATTATCAACTAGGCCACAATGAGTATCAGTTATCATTTCATGAAGTTAGTTTTTATTTTCAAATGATTTATTATGTAGGGCCGGGACTATCAGAACACCGCTCCTGACGTCATTCTGCTGCTCTGTATAGTAGGTTTTAAGTCAAAGGCCCGGTGATAGTTCAAAAAGAAGCCCATCTGCATCAGTCCCGGTGTCCTGACAGTACCCTAGTAACAGTACATTTACAAAGGCGCTAAAAATTCAATCTAAGACTACATGAAGATAATCAAGCATGAACTATAGAAACATAAATTGTCAGCCGGTGAACATCTCTACAGTTTCGAAATCAGTAGTTATACAAAGTTCCTACAGACAAATCCAGTATTTAAAACAAACCTGATAGTTCAAAATGTAATGTTCAATGCATATAAATGTGTGTCTACTGAAGACTTAACTAGGTAAACAACAATAACATTTATATAAAAGTTTTCCAACTTTTATCCTAAAACGACATTCATCATGTTAAACTAATCACTGCATATGGAAATAAAGTACTCATGGTATAATAATGACAGTACATTGAGACAACATGAACTTGATAGAAATTTACAAGTGTTTGGTAGGCGAAATGCGATGTGGAAAAATATTAACCATAAATGCCTAGAGACGAAATCAAGTTGTTGACATGGACCCGATACCCATAAGTACAAATCATACTGGAAAAAAACAAATCTAGATTTTGTCACCTCTATAAATATATGTATATTGGTATTGGTACCTCATGAGAAGACTATGAAATCATTGGCATTTAATTAAAATAGTTTGCGGAAAATAATCAATAAGCCTCATAAGACACTTACATTGCATATCCTGCCTCATATAAAAACTGTGGGACTTGTGTAGTTTTACCGCACCCAGTGGCCCCACAGATTATAACACAATCGTTTTCACTGATACTTTCCATGATGCTCGCTTCGTCCGATAATATGGGGAGTGCGAGACGGGATGTTACTACTTCTGGTGTCCGTGAAACTAAAACAAACCTAGCAGGTTTGGAAGTATTTCCCGACTGAACCACCTCAATTTCAAGCTCCTTTTCAGTACTGTTTTGGGTAGATGGGTGAGTATCATCCTTATTTGGGCACTGTTCTGAAATGACGGTGTCATTTGGATTTGCCGTCTCCGAAACAGACTCATCACTGCTATACTCGTCCGTAGACTTTGAAGCATCTGACAATTCACGGCATTCCCGTTTCCACGACTTTCCTTTAATATTTGAACTAGAAAAATTAAGACTAGCGCAAAAAATTTACTTATGTACTCGTTTCTCTGTCTTCTTAAGTTTGTTGAACAAAGGTAACACAGATACAGGTGGGGCAGTCTCAGATTTTTTGTACTGCTCTAATTCCTTCCACAATTCCGAACGCTAGAAACTAAATAAAATCAAAGTAACATAACATTACCGATAACTTCTTTTCCTTTTGAGCAACTTTACGCTCTAACTCCTTCCTTCGCTTTTTTGACAAAATTTGATTCTGAACAGCTTTAATAGAATCTGGTTTTTGTTTTCCTTTAGATTGTGACTCATTGTTTCCAAGCAGGACCAATGGATTGCTAGAATCATACTTCGTTTCATTGAACTCAAAATCAATCTACAATATCATTAAGATAGACAAGTTTAAGAAAAATTACATAAAAGGAGAAATATAATTTACAGTTTATGAATTGTAAAAACTTATGACTGAGAATAAATCTCATCTATGATATATCTAATGGTCACGGATAGTTACACCTTTTCTTCATACAAATACTTTACAAAACGACTTATATATATTAATTAACAAAAGACGTAACAGTGAAGAAAATTTAGTTTTCCACAAATCGTTTTCTAGCCCGACCAATAGCTGCTACCTTAACATGGTGGTCGGGCTTGCATATCCCAACGACCCAACAAGCTACACTGGCTGGAACTAGTGTTCTTTTTTTACTCCATCTCCGGTATAGACGTGATATCCGACTGGCTGTCGGCCAAAGAGAGTCTGTACTGCTCAGCACTTCTCTCTGCCCCCCCCCTTTATGACTTTGAGACATGGTCATTGAAAGTGGAAGACATGAAAAGGCTAACTAGCTGTCTTCTATCATAGATGCCTGCGTTCTATCTCTGTGAAGTGGTATAATAGGGCGAGCAATATTGAGGTTAGGCGTCGAGTGCTAGGTAAGGAGGGGAAATCAATCGACGAAGTTGTGAAGCTACACTGGTTGAATTGGTTAGGTATGTGTTACGCATGCATCCCTAGCCATTGCCTTACTCGACTGATGTTGACACATGGTGGATCAGGTCGGAAAAGAGCCGGTGGTGGTCAAACCAAAACATGACTCATCAGTTAATGAAATCCACAACAGGTAGTTTAAGCCACTCACGTCGGGAGGTGTGGACATCCTGACTGGTTGGGGTCCTCGGATAGTAAAATCCAATGAGGACTGCAGACAATTGGTGATACGGCTCGAAATCGTTCTCAACCGCTGGTGCAGATGCATCCACTCCCTGTGATTTGTAATATTCAATAAGATTCTATTGTTCTTGCACAATACTATTGATTTTGCTTCAAATTTTTGTTTATTACCCCTCTTTTGAATCTTTCTAAACTCTTTTCCGGCTATATGAGCTATGTGGAGTGTAGCGACTTGAACTGATGCCCATATGCGGAAAGTTCTACGTTGAAACTAGTCAGTCATCGTTTTTAAAGCTGTACAATCATATTTATACTCAACAAAGAAATCTTTACCCCGATCAAATGGTAGCGTTTTCCACAAAATGCATTATGTAATATGGGGTGTTATCTAGAAGGGGATGCACAAGTGATTTAAAAATGGAGTCAGAAGTGCGTAATAAGTATGAAAAAAGATATAAGCTATATGTACAAAATAGCCAACAGCTAGTGGGAATACAATAGAGTTTGTATACACTTCGTATAGCAAATGCAGTGTTATTGGTGAACAATAATTATGATAACTTATGAAATAACGATGATTGACTAAAACATTATTTAAGTTTCATTTGTTATTAAATGCTGATAAGATGCATTTTTAAAAACCTACATATCTCAATAGTTTTAGAGTTGTTAAACAAAAGATAGAAAAAGTCAAGCTTAGGCTGTCATGAGCATGCTTTATGAAAGGTGAAACAAACAGAAATGAGACAGGACACAAGAGGAAGTGGACAACGTTTTTAAGAAATACGCTGTTAGCAATAAATAAATAAATAGGAAACTACAGGATTTAACGGTTAGAAAAAGCCTTTCATTCAAGATGCAACAACGCCATCTCACTTGTAAGCAAATTAAATTTTCACATTAGCATACAGAAATCCCTAACGCTGACGACCAACGAAGTTCAAATACACACTATTATTGTAATTATAGTTATAATAATGAAATTCATCTACAAAGCACAATTGCGTGAATTAGATCTCTCGCCACAAAGCTGTAAGGACTTACAATACAACCAGTCTATTCAACTTAAAGTGAAGTACGGATTGCGCCTACAGCCTATGGGTTTAGATTTAAGTATTTAAAGCATCTAGCTCAAACTCTAACAGCAAAAGACACAAAAAGTTCAATTTACCAAGCCACAAGAAGTGAAATATTGTAGTGAAACTACGATGCACAAAGAGATAAGAGGAAGGAACAAGTAAATGACGATTAGTGAACATTTTCAGAAAGTGGAAGACGACAATGATTGAGCACACCTAATCTGTGATAACAATTCTGTATCAAATCAAAAACATCTTTCAGACAGATTATTAGCATGTCTAAAAAACAAATATGAGACGCAGAACAGTTACTGATTATCTGAATCCGTCTAACCACCAACAACTCTTTTGTTAATAGAATTATATTCCAATTTACATTGCTTGTTGAGGAAGGTAATGGCTCAGAATGGGCGAAACATGTGCTAGTCATCTTAATTCACTGAGCTTTACATCACTGATCAACTCTTCCTCGTTAACTACCACTACACCTGACTTCATCATTACAATGTTCCTCCAACTAACACGAAATAGAACAATGACATCTATGTTTAAAAGCTGTTAATTTTCTCGCTTTAACTTTTAAGAATAGTAGTTAAGCAGACGTATGGCCAGAAGGAGCAAACTGCTTCACAGAAGACTCTTAGACGATGGGCTGTATGCCATGAGCCAAAGGAGCAAGTTACAAGTACCAAGTAAGCCATAACCCTATAATGGGAGCCAATGAACGAAATTTGGGAAACAGGAAAAACATATGTCGAAAACTGTTGGTCTTACGTTTTCAATAATACACCTGGTTGCAACATGAGGTGATACAGAAAAGAAAAGTTGACTTATTCAAATAGTCAAGAAGTCAAATGGTAATAAAGTTTGTGAATCCATACATACACGAATCACATTAACAAGTACGAACTACTTATATGGCAAGAGAAGAATTCAGACCATTAGCTTCGGTACACCTTAAATTATTTGTTAAACGAATTTAGGCTTTTTCTTGAGGTCGGAAGTCATAAATGCAGTGTCAAGCTTTGGAGCATTAAAAACTACCACTTTTCTTGTTCCTGACTTCAACTTCTTCCAAATTGCATAAGTCTATTTCATACAACGCACAATAATGAGGTATTAATAACTGAAAGACGTTCTGAAAACGTATTTTCATAATCATATCAATGCGTTCACACGACTTGATAACTAGTTTTGTACAACCTTACTCCCTGTTACTTTTATTGCATTTTTCTACATATCCTTTATAGGTGTTTGATCATTTCGACTGTACATTTGGTGTTCCGATGAAATATCAACCATCAACTGAACAAAATGGTTAGGCAACCTCTCGACAAGAGTATTAGACTCTGGTGAAATAAGAAAGCTCGAAAACAGATTACATCTCAATGTAGCCTGAAGACACAATTCCTAATGCGAAAGTAACCTTAAGTGCAACAGATAAGGCAACTGCTGAGCAACTTAGAGCACAATGTGCACTGACATTGGGAAACCAGAAAGCGAAGAAATTATGACAAGAAATATCAGATTTGAAAAACTTTAAGAAACGACAAGAACATAGTGCTTGCCAAATCAGACAAGAGTAATTCAGAATCAAAGTCAATGAACATACGCAAACAGGTCTATATGATATAAGAAACCGGTAAACACGGTTATGAGATTAAAATATTTACAGCTGATTTAGTAGGCTGAATAAGTTCATCCCTGGGTGAGGCAAAATGGTTTACCCTAATGCCTTAAACTAACAATCTTGGTAGAATGTATGGTACTGTATGGTACAGCAGATTCTACGCTATCTCATACCAAATGAAACGACAGCTTCAACAAATTTAAAAAAGGAAAGTTCCAGTATAACAAGTTCATGCACTAAGATCCCGAGTAATGCAGCTCTGGAGGCAGCTATGAATGAACCATACACAGATCCTTAACTCACAAACAGAAATAAAGACTATGCTGAAGAAATATTAGGTATTTAATTATGTCTAACCTCCACTGTATTCAAAGAAAATGTACAGACAACTAAACAGGGATGCAGTGGGACCAGCAATATATCAATGACGGCAGACATGTTTATGGATAGCTGGAAAAGTTAAGCTCACTGAATTTTTATTCTTCATCCTAAGTTATGGTGGAGATATAAGTGACATTCAGATATGAAATCTAAACAGATACTTAAATTCATCACACAAACTCAGTGATATGTGGGGCCCAGTTCAAAATGAATAGGGTATCAGCTATACTAGACTGCCAAATAAAACAAAAACATAATGGTGGGTAAAGTCGGAAACTGTCACATTAGCAGACACTTAGATTTTGAATCGTCTTACCTAAACATCGGTTGAGGTAGGTTTATTGAAATATCTGCGCAATCGAAGCAGCAGGCTAACTAACAAGTAGGGATATTTAAATAATGGGACCAAACTAATGAATAAAACATTACTAGTGAACAAATGCCCACAAGATCTCATCGAAAAATGTATGAACACCCATGTGAATAAAACAAGGTAAGTAGTGGAATATAAATAACAAGGAATTCAGAGCCTCGATAGTACTGCCGAATAAAGGAATATCAGTCCAGGCGTAGGATTCTTAATAAGGTCGGAATAAGAGTGACATTTAGGCCAACTAACCAATTCATCAACAAACTTAGTAGGATTAAGGACACGACAGACACTACAAGGATAAGTAATTTAATGTACCGAACACCGCATAATAACTTCGAGATCAATTACATAAGTCACACTGGTGGGTCAGGGTCGATAACGATAAAATAGGTAATCTGAAGAAACCTAATTGCATGCGACCATGCCATAGGGTGGGATAGGATACAGGTAAAGAAAAGCAATATAATTCCACATTAGTTTGATTATTAAATGTATCACACAGTGAAACAGTATTGTATACTGGATGACGTTTCGAACACAATTTATTGTTCATAATCATATCAGTTTTTGTCACACGACTTTGTTCTTTGAGTCATCACCAAATAAGTTCAGTTGAAGTGATTTAACATAAATCCTGAATAAATGGAAAGTTTGCATTATATATATATATATATATATATATTTTCATGTCGTGTGAATATATTGATATAATTATGAGCAATAAATTGTGCTAGATTGACCTTCCATTTACTAATGATCTATCGCTGCGTCTCACGTCAAATGAACCAATCTAACATTGAATTATGTGTTACGACAGGGTTCAAATCCTACCTTCACATTAGATTAATTGTTTTCAAATTACCCTAATCTAGCTAAAACTCAAGATTTATTTGATAATACTAAAAGAAATGACACTTACACAAACTACTCTATGGCACATCATGGTATTAATTTGGAAAACATTGGCAGTAAGGCGGTGTCATTTACGTGGTTTTTCCGAGTGTTGCATGGCGCAGAAACAAAATGCATAGACCGAATGAACAGAAAACGTGCTAGTTTTCCGTTCCATTGTTAGTTGTGTGCAGCGAAATACGGTTCAATAAACAAGAATTGCATTCAAAAGGACAGGGCGCATCAGAGCATTACGTGGTAATATTATATCAAGTAGAATTCACCGCGGAAACGGTCAATAACATGCTCTCAATTATAGCTTGATTCTACTCAGTGCTATGGTATGTCTATGGAATTTTCACCATTTGATATCGCCAGACCAAATTCAGCAGGCCGACCTATTGATATCAGACGTGCGTCTGCCGGGGACAGAACTCCGGACTACGTGCATGATCGGCGAGCGTCCTGTGCAACCAACGCACAATATGATTAACAGAAACGAAGAGCTGAAACTTGGTGGGCGACTACCACTGTGAGAGTTTATCATATAAATCAAGCGAGTATTTCTTAATAAAAACTGAATTTACTGCTGTAACACACGGACTCAAAACACATACCAAGCCATCCAAACTCGTGCGCTTAGCGTTAGCCATCGGAATGCGCGCGATACTCAATGTAATACACGTTAGATTTCAAACTTATAGACTGAGGACAGAAGGCTTGGAGCCTATGTCAATCCTTTTCTAGTAAAGCTCTGTTCTTGTCCAAACCCTCCTTGAATGGATTAGGTGAAGTTCCAGAAACCACTTCTGCGAGTTGGTTCTAGGAGTTTGGAATTAGTGTAAGAACCAGTAGTCCATAGCACTATGTTTCCCCTTGACTTTTCAACTTTCCTGCTATGTCCTCCAAGGTGTCTCGACCTGATTGGAAGGATAAGAGAGAATAAATTGGGTCCGTAGTCATTATTTAGAATTTTAAACCGTTATTAAATCTCCTTTCTGCCTACGTTATGATAGAGAGAGGAGATTTAAAATGTCTGCTCTTTCCTCGTATGACATATTAGTCATGTCGAGAATCAGGCGTTTTGCCTTCTTTTGAACCCTTTCTAGAATATGTGAGTCCTCTTTAAGACAAGGACTGGCTACCTGGATACACTTCTCTAGTCTTGACCTCACCAGAGATCTATATAATGAGGTGAACATATCTCTGGTTATTCTAGTAAAAGCTCTGCGAATCTCCCATAAGGATCTGAAATTATGTGCAGCCACCGTCCGACAGTATGCTGTGGCTATGACACCTTAATCCAAGCGAGTCTGAACTGATGGGAGTGTTATTCCCTCTAGTTCGTAGGAGCTGATGCTCACTTGTCCGATGCACAAGGTTGAACATTCTGCTACTTTGATTGGGAGCGTCCATTCTCTGGACCAATCCAACAATGTTTTGAGGTCGCCTTCCAATGTGAATTTATCACTGTTGCCCTTCAGCCCTCTCCAGATTATTAAGCCATCAGCATACAGGACCATAAGGAAATCGAAGAGCAGAGATAACTCATCATTATACAAAATAAATGGGAGCGGTTGGAGTACCATACCTTACAGCACTCCGCTAGAAACTGCTGTCCAGGAGGAGAGTTTCGAGTTGATCCTAACTGTCTGCCTCTATTCTATGAAGAATTCACTAATCCACTTTAGAAGCTGCTTTTGGTACCAAAACTTTCCAACTTCATGAGTAGTCTTTTGTGAAGAACTTTTCCAAAAGCTTTGCTGAAGTCTATGGAGACGACGTCAACGAGTCTTCTGTTGTCCCTTGATTTGACTCAACTCTCTCTTCCAGTGAGATTTGACAGGCGTGAGGGGTTTCCTATGAAACCATTCCATGCTCTGGATAACATCCTGTTGTTTTGTAGATATACCGGGAGACGTTTCTTGGTGATTCTTCACAAGTGACTTGATTAAGGTGCTGGTGGGACTAATAGACGTGTAGTTTGAAGGGTATTGTCTCGACCCTCCTCTGTGCATAGGGGTAATTATGGCGTCTTTTCACCCAAGCGGTAATACTTAATTGAGGAAAGATAGCTTGAAAATCGTGGCCAGTGGGCCAGCTATGTGAGCTGATAACTAAGGAGTTGTGCCTTGGATGAAGATTATCAGGACTCATTGATTTCCCCGCATCATCAGGCACTTGAGCATCACGTCTTAGTCGACGTCAACGGAGTTTATCCCGTGTTCCTCTAATGCAGCCACAGCCGATCCTATCATGAGTTACAACTTATGTGTAAAGACCTGGGAGAAGTAGTCTGTCATTGCTTCTGTTTTTTCTTGATCTTCTTCGATTGTTAATAGTCAGGTTTGCTTGCGGTGGCTTCCTTGTTCAGCGGTGTAAATGTTTTTCTGTCCTCTGTGGATAGTGTGGCCCTTACTGTGCCTTAATCTCGCCTTTTGCTGGAGAATACTCTACGCCATTCAGTAATACCCTCCTCACTACCTGCTGTCGATTGCATCTGCTTGATATCCACCGGTGTGGATGAGGCTTGATCTGCAAGTTCCCGGGTGAATTTACCTTCGGGTTTTGACCCTTGGCACTCCTATTCCTCCTGCCAGCCTCTTCATTAATGGAACTGAAGGGCTTATTGGGAATCATAGGGACAGCATGGATGCCTGGACTATGGTGGGTGCTAACTGTATTAAAGGCACTAACTTCCTGACAGAGATACGTCAGGGACGTGCATTGTCTTGTCGATGAAGCTTGCCACCTCATCCGTGGAAATTGTGCCGGAGCTCGACTGAATTTCGACACAAAAACCACTCAACAAATGCGTCGACATCTTTCAACCCGTTCTAGCTCGCTCGATAGAACAGATTCAGTACCTATGCGTTGAGTCGGCATGAATTCTCAGTAATCTTTCGTTGACTAATGCGAAGCGGCAAAAAGGACTGTTAATAGTTTGGTTTATCTACATTTAATTTACAGAGTACAGACTTCACAGGCTCTTATGCCATTTTGAAGGGTACCTAATCTTTATTAAAATGGAAAATCAGAAGCATCTGAAATGACGAGCTCCGCTGGAGGATTTTACTGGCTCATTGTAGTAGTATTTTAACCGTCAGACGATGTCTCGCTTAGAAGTTATCTGTATGCAGGATATACGTGTGTGATAAAATATCACCCAGGTCATTTATATATGAGAAGAGTGAAACTAATCCTATCAGTTTAGTTACCTAAATTTGAACCCTTTAAAATTTTTCCATCCGATTTTAAAACGTTGACTCGCTCCTTATATCCGATAATTCAGGTGAGCTGGAATGTAATACATGTTAAATATTGTCGTCAAACTTAAGAATGTATTTTGGAGAGCCCATGACATTCTAAGACCCTTCATATCTACCGATTTACAGTTTGATGTGTCTACCTGTTGGTGGTTAACTCCGCGATCTTTAGTAGAATGAAGTCATTAACTGATGAACTGAAACTCTTGTTATAGTCGTAACGAATAGGTGCATTCTTACTTTTATTAATTAATTAGAGGTTTCAAATTTTATTCCTAAGCAAGTTGGTCCCCATCATTAAGCAAAGCCTTCTTTGGTTTATCGTCGATAAGAATGATACTATTATCAGCGGTGTCGTGTTTGCATATGGCACGAAGAGAAGAAGGGCTAGTACAGTACCGTGAAAGACGTCACTCTTCAGTGGTTGCAAATATGATGTCCCCTAACTCCCCCAGCTTGTAATGAATCCTCAAGGAAGTCTTGCATTCGGACAATTTACATTCTATGATTACCAAAGCCGTCAGACTTAAACAAGATAAGTGAAAGCAAAGCAATATTGTAGGCTATGGAAATGTCCGAAATAATGCCATCAACTGAGCAGTCATCATCCCAGTAAGCTCAGGTTCACAGCCAGAGAAGAGGGTTTCTGAGGAAGGAATAAGGTATTTTAAAGTCGTGCTGTTTCACTGCTTGAACTTCATAAATCTTCGCATACTAAATGACGATATCACAAATGATCCACACAAGCAGTTTAAAAGGAATTCCACCTAGACTAACATGGCGGTGGTTCCTAGTAGACTGTCTCACTCTGGTTTTGAGAGCGCTGGCTCGGTTGCTGTTGTGCCCCAGGCCATTGCAAATATTATTCGTGAATGGACTCCATTGAAAACACTAAAACTTGTGTGAATTAGGCACTATAAGCGGTCTCAGAGTACCCAAAGGTACCATTCGTTAACCAGCTTCTGAACAATTCACGCCTTAAATCGGCAATATCCACACCTCAAACTTTCGGTTGATCACGGAGCTAAACCCGGACTGGGTGACATCTCTGAATGTTAGACACCGTCATCTCACGGACACTATTAACTTGATAAGGGTTAACGGCTGCATTCCTTATGTTAATTGAGTCATCCTTTAGCGTCTATTTTTTCAGGGTCGCACATGGCAACGTAGCAATCTAACTCCTCATCATGAATTAGGGCATTTACACTTTTGTTTTCATTTTTCATCTGAGTAATTTATTGGCTTTATTTCAAGACTTACTGTGCCAGAGCTGCTGCTCACTTACTATCCTGTTATCCATACTGCTTAGGCTACCTTCTCCAATCGTACTTATGGTTATTAGATCGACAACTACATCAAGGAAGTTCATTTTCCATCGTACCACTCTCCTCCGTCGCCACGCCAAGATCATCCGTTACCTCACTTTCTGGGGAAACAACTATTACGTGTAAGCAGACTATCGGCCAGAGACACTGAAATTGGACCGGCTACAGGAACTCTTTGTCACGAAATTATTGCCCATGTAATTTCTTCCGAACTATCTGATTACAATACTGGTAACCATATGGACGTTTCAACTGACTCTTTAATTTTCGTCAATTTTCATCCTGAATTGCATATCATTGTTGCGACTTTCGCCTCTAGTCTGCTGGCCGATCCTTAGTAATTCTTTCCCACTGTTCAATCTTTAATGGTAATCCTTCTCTTCGTGGTGATGTGACTGTTCTGATAATGTGTTGCGTTACCCTAACAACGTACTGTCTGCTAGACTTGCTTGGTTTTTGATTCTTGTCTAATAACCATTTTTTTATTGTTTTCGGGGTATTCTGTGACCGCGCGTAATTGAAGGAAGTCCAGTGGTTATAGAGTAGAACTGATTTCCTTTGTTCAGACCATAGCACGCAATTCATGGTAACCAAACTCTTCAGTAATGGAATCAGAAGCTATTGAGGTTACAAAAGTGTACATAGCTGTGCATTAGGATAAAAATGATGAAAAAATAAAAATAAACAGCTTAATTCTGCCCAAAATATTTACACAGTTCATACTTTTGAGTGTAGTTTACTGCATAATAGTACCTCTTCATCCATGATCTTCAGGCTAAATAGCAGTCTACGGCTATACATGTGGTGCAGTGGTGTTCAGTATCAAGGGTAAAAGAATCTCCTATGACATTTTTCCTTCGTCACCGAGAAATGTGCGTCAGTTGGTTGAAAAGAACTAAACGTGTTCATGATTGCATTTGTAGACAGACAAACAAAATGAAATAGTTTGCAAAAACAGAAATGGAGAAAGTTTTAAACACTGTGTCGGATGGAAATCTAGGAGGCCAGCATATCCACGTAATTGTCAAATAGTCTCATGGTTATGAATAGTTATGTGGAGGCCACATTAATTGCGGTGGACTTGTATTAGTGACAATTCATG